CCGGTCAAACCGGAGGTACGGCAAAGCAAGTAAATATGTCAAAAAATGTAAATTGAATTATAATACACAACCTTCAAATTTGGTGTTTCTATCTCCAATAATAAAAAATTTATAGGGGTGAGCCACCTTAAAGAATCACCCGGTATAGGCCAAAACTTGAATGACTTGTGCCAACCGATATGCCGACATCCTCACACTCTTCGCTAATAGTGATTCGATGACACTTTCCTTCACTTTCTCAATTTTCCGCGGTTGTTAATGTGCTGGGGTATCCATGGCGGAAGTCGTCATTCATATCTTCTTTACCGTCTGTGAAAAGTTTGTACTTGTTAACATTTTTTTGACTGAGAGTACAATCACCGTATGACACTGTCAACATGTGAAGAATCGTTTATTGATTATTTTGTGTATGTACATATATTATATCTACAATAGGCCAATTATTACTTTTGTAGGTTCAAATAATGATACTAATAATGTACAAACACAAAATTAGTATCATCATTTTTGAGCCACGTCAGAAGCTGCGGCGGTAGACTAATTGAATGCTTGTTAATGATGAATCGTATTATATTATATTATCAAACCTAACTACAGTTAGGAGATTCTGTAATCTCCCGAAGATCATCTACTGCTTGCTTCATCAAATTTTTCATAATCACTTTCAGAAGCAGTGATAATTTCACGTTATATGCTCACTGTCAACAATATATGTCCACCGCACACTGAACACTGAGTCATGCGAAAAGAGGCGAGGAAATCGTTTATCCGAGATACAGCTAGCATGAAAAAAAGGGAAACCTGATAGAGTGGTGCCGTTATGCGTTACGTTACCAAGTGGTTCACCCTCTCATAAGAAGTTATCACTTCAAAAGCCGCTAATCGTATGTACGTAGCCCGCAAAATTTGAACAGTTTCACCTTTTTTTTAACAGACCTCGTACGTTATACAAAATATCATTTCAAATAATTTCCTTTCTGTTTCCCGATCCACCTTGAATTCACCATAAATCACTCCGATATATTTATAGAATCCATAACAAAAACAAACCGACAGGTATATCATATTTATTTTCCGCTTCATCCTTGACTCAATTCCCCGCAATGCCTTTCCACGGCAAATGCTCAAATATCGATTTAAGTCCGACGTTCCCGTTTTATGAATTCAGCCCGTGTAACCTGGTTAGTATCTTATAAATTGACATTGGCATTGTTCGATTGGTTTCCTCTGTTCGGCACTTGTGCAGCTTTTTTTCCCCGAAGTGTTATCTTCTGAAAAGACCCCTGAATTTGAACAGGCTTTTCGTTGAGTATGTGCATGCCTGGAGAATGTTTTTTTTTTTTATGGTAAAAGTGCTTCGAATTTTCTATACCATATATTCTGATGTTGGAAAGAATATAGTTTTCATTGACAAAAAATAGTTTCATAGTGCATAATTCCCAAATATTCTACGGTTTTCTACCAGAAAATAGTACAGTATACCAAGAAAGCACATTATCAGTAGTTTTCAATCACTTTTTCACAAAAGTACCTATAATACTGTTTTTTATCAGGGAATTCTCGAAAAATCCCAATTTTTTCGAGGTCGAACAAAAGTAGAACAGTCATTGCTGTGGCGAAGAGAAAATACTAAGGAAAAGTCTAGATTATCTAAATTCAGATAACTATGATTTCCTGACATATAATTTGACAGCCCTACATCGAAGAAAAGTGAAAGAAATTTCTAAGTGAAAAAAGCTGCTGATAGAATGGAGTTATTACAGTCAGAATTCCATAGGAGATATCATAAGCTATCCAGGCACTCTCCAAATCTGGATAGCTCTCCTTTGTCCAATCACTATCCTGAACGTCTCCTTTTGTCGTGAAGGATTTACTTTTCATCACATGTGACGATGCGATACAAAATAGTATCGTTTTTGTTGCGCAAAAGAAAAGAAGAAAAAAACTTTGAAACGTGACTTCTCCTGTCGATCGTTCAAATCGTGTGGCAACCACTTTTCGAGATTTTTTATCTTTCTATTACGTTTTAAATCATCAAACACCAAATGGGAGCTGACGCCCAGTTCTTTCACTATCCCACGCACCGATTGTTATGGGTCTGTCTCCACCAGGGTCCTCAAATCCTCGTTCTAATTACTATAGGTCGACCACTCCAGGGTTCATCTTCAAGGCTGAAATATCCGAAACTGATTTTCGCAAACCAACACTATCATTGTCGCACATAAACAATATTACACTCCGGACACTTGAGCTTATAAACTCCAGATTGAAGAGGAGATCAGATAACCTGACATGTGGTCTGAATGCCACTGTTTTTTCTGAAGAAACCCGCAATTACCTCTATTCTTTTACCAAAATATGTGAGAGTTACCCATTTCTTGATCTGGAATGTGACTGCGTTGAAACCATTATTATGGCCCATCTATGTAATTATATCAATTTACCTAGCTAGATTGTTGCCATTCTTAAACATATTGGTGAGGATGACCGACACTAAATAGGACACATCTGTATATAATGAACCCACTTACACAGGACAGTATCTGAACCAGGAATCCAACCACCATCAATCGACTAGGAGAGGAATCATCAAGACTCTACTAGACCGTGCTTTTGGGTCCTGTAATATAAAGGAAGGTATCGAAAAGAAACTAAGCATCATCAAAAATGATTTTTAACGAAATGATTATTCCAAAGTGATGGTGGAAAAGGCTTCAGCTAGAAGACAGCAGAAGCTCCACAAGAAAGAGAAGCCGCCACAACCACTACTTGTATTTCCCCACATCAGAGGATTGTCGAAAAGAATAAGAAGGATTAGGTCCAAGTATAACATCAGAACCTGCTTCAGATCTTGGAACACTATCTATAGCAACGTCACGAAAACCATGCCACCAAACGCGGACTGCGATTTCAAGAATTGCACTCACCGGATACCTTGCGAGTGTGGAGAATCATATATCGGTGAAACTAGACGCCATTGAAAGTTCGCATTGCCGACTATGAGAAACACACACAGCGAGGAGAAACCAGCAAATCAAGAATAGCAGAGCACGTATTGGACTCATCAACATAACATCAACTGGGCTCAAGCTGAAATCATCCACAAGAAAAAACACTGGTTTAGGAGAAAATTCAAAGAAGCCGCATATTTGTTGTTCAACAACGCATTTAGCGAAGCTAGCGTAGAGAGACGCAACATATGGAAATCTGTAATCAAGCGGAACACGACCAACTTCCGCCATACGGTCAGCTTCCGCTAAAACCGATGAAGCGGAGGGAGGGAAGAAGAAATAGGTGAAAGATCTCTGAGAAATAAGTCCAGTTATCACCCGAATAAGACGATTGTGGATACTAACAATCGAAACGTTGTGAAGTAAATCTATAATTTTCATCTCGTGTTATCAGTTCGATTTTTGGTTGTTGCTTGTAATTTATTTCATTGATTTCGTTGTAATTCAGATGAAGATCTTCAGGTGGTGCTGCAGGTTTTTTCGGGTTTTCCTGCAGCTGAAAAAGCAAATGCGCCACTGGAATCAGTGAAGTCGCTCCGGAGTACCAATTAATTTTCATTAATTTTTATTGTTGTTTCTTTGCTTGATATAATTGTTATTCTTCAGCTGACCTTTTTGATTTTTTACATATTATTTCAGGGATTTCAAATCAATTTATATCATATCAGACAATGGAAGCTCGAACTAGTGAAATGCACCATGAAACATTATCAGTCACCTTCAAACAAACATTGAGAAACATATTTTTTCATCCAGTTACTTTTATATCATCCCATCTTAGTATACCATGCATCATTGAACTAAACAGCTCAGATGAAGAAAAGAGTAAATTTGAAACAGATAAAGCGACACACACCTTGAGAATAATTCTACCCGTAGCAACATCCTTCTTAATCTCATTACGGTTATTGAACGCCATACTCAGGTCAGGACTCAGATTCATAACGTTTTTTTCTGGGATATTTCCATGGAGATGTTAAAATTCGTTATTCAACAGTGAATTTTCAGTGTATTTTGCAATTTTTGAATCATTAGATGGAAAACTTTATACAGATGAAAAAAAGGAAACTTCTAGTTCACCCCGATAAGTTACTGCTTGAACTAAATGTATTTTTCACAATGAAAAACTCGCTTTCAATCACGAAAAACTGTCTGAAGAGCATTGCCGCACAGGACTTCATAGGAAAGTCATCAACATTCATCGAAATTCATTTCAACAAGAAAGATTGTACAAAGAACGTAGTATCCGGTACCTGAGGAGGCCAGAAATGGACTAGAATATAACTCCGATCCTCATTCCGGCAGCAGCACTCCTATCAACAACGTTGGCCAATCAGAATAACCTAGCACAAGTGCCGACCAATCAGGAAATGGCATTCTCATGGACACCTCATGCCCACCAAGCCCTACTAGTATGAATAGGAGTGAACGCGGAGCTTCTCAGTCAGTTGTTGCTGATGCTTCGAGATACCACATTCATCCTCGCATACACGCATACATCTCTGACGATTTAAACCGCAGTTGCTGGCGGAACCTTTGGAAGTACAAATTTCTATTGACCATCAGTCTGGGTTTTGTTCTCTCCAATCGTGACTGCGGCTGTGAAAGCTTATGTTATGTTGGGTATTATATTATTGAATGTCTAGCGTTTAAAATATACTTGAATATGATGATCGTCTGAAATAATTATTGATACAACTTTTCATACATTCATCCCCTTGCAGCGAGATGTGCGTACACATTCATTTCAGAAATAGTCTTATAATTTTGTGAACAAAATTTTTCTGAGCAACTTCATTGCTTTCAGTTGATCACATGCAGCCACGATTTAGTAATTTTTTGTGACTCACTTCTATGAGCTAGTCAATATAAGTAATTCATGAGATACCAATTGAAAGCTTTTGTCTTTGAATATCTCTCTACTCCGAATACTCCTTCAAATCCGACCCTGCAAAAACCCATCTAATAAATCTTTTCGTTCTGTTTCAGAGCCTAGACGTTTGTACGACCTGCAAAGTTTGTGGAGGATTCAGACTCTTGCCCTGTCAAATCTGCAAGGGAAGCAAGAAATCCGTACACAGAAACCACTTCACCGCTGAATTCGTCGCTCTCAAATGCATGAACTGCGACGAAGTTGGCCTTGTGCGATGTCACTCCTGCTCGTAGTTTGTTGTTTGCTAGGTTTTATTTCGTATTGACGGAACTCAGCTGTTCATGATGTACAAGGTGTATCAAAAGTGAATTATAGAGACTAAAAAGCCAGAAGCATCTGGATTCTCCTGAAGCTTTTTTCATCACTCTGAATTGTTGTGTCATTTGGTTTGAATTATCATAATGAAAATGAAAAGTGAATCAGTTCTGTTACATTTTTGAAACAACCGTCCTGTACTCATGTACGTTGCTTTTGGTGCTTTCGTTTCCTGTTCCATAACAATTAGAAAACTTAATTGATCCGTAAATTAGTGAATGGTCTTTGTAAAACACCAAGTATTTCTCAAAAGTAGTCATGTTAGTAGTTGAACAAGCGAATTGTAAATATACAGATCAACAGAATAATTTAATTGAAATTTTTGAAAGTACTCATATAAGAACTTGAAAATAAGGACAATATCTTTTTGGTTGTCTCCTTGATGTGCCTGACAAAATGTACGAAAAGTGAACTATTCATGCCTCAACTGGGGTTCACTGGGTTCATCTACAAAAAATAATTCGATCTGTAATATACGTATGCAATATTATTTTGTAAGTCAGAAATACAATAAAGTTTTATATATTCGTGATCTTCATTTCTTCCAAACTTGACTGAAATTTGACGAAATGTTTATCGAATATAGATTCGAAGGTTATACTACAGCTACCGGACTGAGTCATGTCCTGTGGGAGAAATCGTTTCCGCATAAAATTTGGGTGGGTGTATGACGAAGAAAGTTTTAGGAAAAGAGGAATAGAAACTTTTGTTTGCCATTTTACTTTTACGGCTCGAATAATCTAACAGACTGATGACAGATTTCTACACATCTACTGCACATCTCGAGGGAGGGGCTTCTCACCGGCCATCACTCAGTCCATCAGCTGTATGTTGTCTGACATGTTGACAATGAACAGCAACAACCGTGATGCTATTTTTTAAAAGGCATTTCACTTTGTCTAGTGTTTTGTTATCTACTCGACAGAATATTTCATGTTTATCAACATTGACAGTAGTTCATTCAGTCAATTTGTACGTTCGGTTATATATTTTCCAGAACTGAAGATATTCTGATTGCACTACCGACTATAACAACTTATTTTTTGAGTTTCTCCGATGAAAAATTGTAACGTCTTCAATTTTGTTTTATATTTTGGAGATGAAGTATACAACAAGTCGTTCATGGGACATAGTGTGTATACAATATAAATACCTATGACATTGTGGTTTCGATTCAATCTATAACGAGTTTCTCACAAAAATATTGAAAACTCGTCTTGCTAGTCTCTTTTTGGATACCATTTGATGAAAAGTTATTCTTCATGAAAATTTTGTGATAATCTATACTGATTTTTGAGTTTTACATTTTCCACTATCTGAAAAGTTAACAAAGCTAAATCAGTAGAGGGGATACTGAAGTATGATAGTGGATAATCTGAAAAAGTTACCTCGTGAAGTTATTGACTTATATAAACCATTGAAGAGCACAAATAGTAACTTGTATTAGTCCAGTGTAGATACACGATTGAAATGATGTTGATTATGTTTTGTTTGTTTTTCTGATTGTGGAAAATTCAGTCTCCAAAACACAATACGAAACATTGACTTCTTCATGAAAAATGTCTTTCAAATAATAATATGTACTAGTTTTGATAAAATCAGAATAACTTCTATAATATTTCTGATTTGTTTGATTTAACATTTTATATTTTCAATATTTCAATTGGCTACCATCTGATTTCCGAACTCCTAACGAAATTAGCACAATGTACATTGTAAACTTCGAATTGTTTTTTTTTCACACGTTTATAGTAGCTTTGTTTGTTTGTTTGTAATTCTCAAGCTTGGGAACTGTATTTGACAAAATTATCGACAGTATTGCTTGATCTATTCGCGGGCAGATGACGCTGTACAAAACCTCCTCGATATATCGACATTATTGCTTGATCTATCCGCGGGCAGATGGCGCTGTACAAAACCTCCTCGATATATCGATATTATTGCTTGATCTATTCGCGGGCAGATGACGCTACTCGTAACCTTCTTGATATATTTCTAATTCACTCTACATGTATTTCTTCATTTGAAAAATTTTTTTTTTATCAACACGCGCACCTGATGCCTCATTTGTAACTCTCCTCTGCGCACCTGCTGCCTTGGGAATTGGATTCGGAAAATATTAATGGACATTTTTCTAACTGATATAATCACTTCATGCAGATTGATCAATAATTGATACTTGAACTCTCAATAATGATGATAATAATAATAATGACAATCACCAATCACCAGAGCAAGACGATATTTGTAAAGTTTGCAGCTGCTGGTGAGGCAAATGTCGTCCGAAAATAGGTGGAAACAAGGATGAATTATCGAGATTTTCTCTTTGAACTCCGCAGACTCTATCCAGATCACTCTGTCAAGATGGTCGTTCTGATTATAGGAGTCCTTGGTGGAATGATGCCCTCTCAAATCTCAAAATCATGCCGGCTTGCCGCACTGAGGCAGAAATTGCAGGCTGACAAATGCAGAAGGCTGTCATTTTTGTTGCACTTCGCTTGCTCAGGGCACATGTTTCTTGGGCCCAATGATCACGTACCACACAGTGTTTGGAGTGGTCATTGGATGATAATGATGTGGCGTTCTCCTGAATCTATCGAAGCCATTACATTACCAGAGCCATTACACTAAAATAATTTTGAATAAATAATTGATTAACATTGTTCCAGTTTCAGTATAGATGGCATTATATGTCTACGCAGACAGAGTTGACGCAAGACACTATGAGAGCTTTAACGAATACTATTGATGTCTTCATGTGAAAGTTGGCCAGAGTCAAGCCAAAGAGCCAGATTTTTGTTTTCTGAAACTACCAATAACTTATTTTCTCCCAATTCCAAATCTAATTCACTACCCAATTTCGAGTTGTTTTTTTCTTTACTGAAAAGAGTGAATCAACACTTGAGTTTCATTCTATTCGAGACTGAAAGTCCACATTTTTCAACTGAAGTTTGTCGATTGTTGAAAGAAAAAGAAAAATACAACGGCATAGTTGTGAATAGAGTCTTTGCCTTTCACCTGATGAAAGTCTGAAATATACACCGAGAATAAGAGAGGACTGAGAATCGAGCCTTGGGGAATTCATAAGTCAGAGGGAAAGTATTGACCATCCAAGCATATGATTTATAGCTGAAGCAACTTTTCAAAAAGTCCACAACTCCATCGCTGAGTCTGAGGTACGTTAGAGTATCTAGAGTAATGAATTGCTGTTATGAAAAGCATGATAGTTTACTTTTATCAGTGCTGATGAATGAATCCTGGAAGTATGAGTTCTGTGGAAGTGCTCTGAGACATCCGGAAACCAGATTGGAATGAATGACCTGCTTTGTTGATTTCTGAAACCTTGGAGAAAACTGGTGGTAGCAATGGTTGTTAATATCGAAACGCAATCACAATCAATAGAGAAATACTGTCATACTCAATATAAATTTGTCAGCCCTCATCAGTAGCGTAGCTCTCTATGTCTACCACATAATTCCGTGTTTCATTACCCGACTGACGCACACGCCGATGTCATGAACATACAATAACTGAGCATGTTTTAGAAAAGAAAGGATACGAATGAAAACTAATTTGTCGCACGCAGAGTCGCAAGGACAAGGCTTTTCAGAATTTTCGTGCGTTTGTCGTTGACAGAATATCAAAAGTATGGTCCGACCTTGAGAAAGCTACTCTTTTCTAATAAATGTACCAATGATGATAGTGATGATCAATATTCGCTGACTATTATCACACCCTCTCAATGTAGACCAGTTTCAAGTTCTTTATCTAACAATATATCAAATATATTAAACTTGATTATCATGAATTGGTTGAAACATATACTTTATTTCGATGATATAAATGAATGAAGTGAAAGATGACTGGAGGAAAAACATTTTTCAAAATTGAAATCAGAAGTACAAAATGCTATGATAGAAATAGATAATAAAGATTGTATTGAAGAATATAGTGATTACAAGTATTTGAAGTATAACGTTGGTTAGAATCAATTTAAAGATAATCAAGAATGCAAAAAATGAAGAATTTGATGATAACGAACAAAAAAGTTTTTCCTTCAACTACAGCTGTCGCCCCCTCAAGAACAACAACCCTCAGAAGTCGAAACTTGTGCCGGGATCAAGGAGATCTTACCATATAGCGTTCAATTTTTCAGTACGTTAGTGAAAATTACGACAAAAATTCACCTATTACAAAAAAAAGAATTCATATGTATATGAATACATCACCTACTCGATTCATTATACATACCACTTTTTTCCAGAAGTGAACCAATAGTTACTATGAATTTACTGTCAGCGTATCTGTTCAATCAAATGATGCTCTAGTTCTAGAGTGAAGATAAAATATTCTTGATGGAAAATATGATAGTTGAATTGGGGATATTCAAATTTCTTTGACGTCTTTCAATATGAAAAAAGATAATAATTGTAGGAGTTTCAAAACAAACATTCTGATATTATTTGAAAAGTTCATCAATCTAAAGCTCTTTTGGAAAATTTTTGACTCTGAATGCCCAAATAACATATACCTCAGTATCTATTATCATTTATTTGGAATTTTTTCTACTCACTTCCACTTGAAAATGGGTTGCATTTTCTGGATAGATACCAAAAATATATTGAAAAAAAGTCATTTTTTGTGGATGAAAATCAGTTTTTTTATCGATCTTTTTTGGGTATTTTCACCTTCCACAATCTGGAAAATATGAAAATTATAATGGAGAACTTTATACAAGTGTAGAAAGGGCCAACTAATTACTGTGTAAAATGAAACTATTTTTCACAAAGAAAAATGGTCTATTTATCAGAAACTTGTCGTATTCAATAATTTTGCCTATCAAAAAAATTGCTAAGAAATAACTCAATACTTATCATCTGTCGAAAAAATTGAGAAATAAATAATCAGCAAAGGAATAACTGAATACATATTTTTATTCTTTTGTCCATTTCTGAAGACAGAAGCAAATTTTGGCGCTCCAAGTTCAGAATCCTAGCAGAGTATGAGTTTCATACTTTCCACTAACAAAAACTCCAGTTATGCCCAGAAACCTTTCTCTTCGTCCATCGACGAATTGAGTGAAAAATTTCGAGAAAACCCTGTCAATATAATAACAAAATTATTAGATATCTGGTGAATTTCCAGAGAAATTCAGTTGATTTGTAGGGAAAAATCCAGGAATCTCGTGACAAGTGAATGGGTCTGTTCGATCCTCCACCGCAACCCGCAAGGGTTTATTGTGGCCTGCACCTATTCACACTCGATCAAACAAACCCAAGTTCTTAACGAAGCCGATTAGTTTGTATGGTGAGTGGTCTTTCAGGTCAGATGGTAAGAGTACGGCTCTGCCGAACTTCAAGAACCTGAGTCGGTTTCCAGCGGGGCAGGCACAAAGTATGTGCTCTGCTGTTTCATCATTTTCCAAATAGAGGCGACTTCTGATAGATAGATAAATTTATTAAAGCTTTCAATTTAAACAATTGATAAAACTCAAGTCATAAAAATGATTACATTAACATTACAAATGTCA